GCTGGCAAGATGTGTACCTGTTTTATATTATATTCCCTTTCATACTTTGCACTAAGCCATTATGTAGATTCCTTGTTTTTGACAATAACATGATCTGAGAACACAGGTATTGTAACTTATCAATGTTATACATCCACATCTAAAAATAGTGTGTACAATTCTGTTGACCACATTTGAAAAAGAACAGAATAGAGATGAAAAAAACTGAGAAGAGTGCAACCAAAATAATCAGGAATTCCAGCCTGGGAAAAAGACAACTGATAAGAGACATGATTGAGGTTGATCAAATAATGTGTGGAATGGAGAAAAGTGAACAAGGAAATTTCTCTTCTCCCTCTTTCAGATCAGTAAATGAAGCTGATTAGAAGGAATTCTATTTTATTTGTTCTAGAAGAAAAAAAACTTAACACAGCATGTAATTAACCTGTAGAACTAATAACAAGATGTGTTGATGGCTCCTAATTTGGATAGCTTTAAAGGGGGATGTGATAAATTCATGGAGGACAGATATTTCAGTGGCTATTAGTCTTGAAGATTCAGTGTTACCTCTGGGTTTGGCAGCATGCCTCCAAGTACTAGTTTCAAGGTAACAACAGGAGAGGAATTTGTCTGCTACTTGTAACCACTCCAGAAGGATCTAGTTGGCTACTAAGAGAAATAAAATTAGGGACTATGATGATAGTTTATGGTTTAAATTGTTATGGATTCATCTACAGTTGTGTGAGTCCCTTTAAAAAAATTGGGCTGCTTTCAGGAAACAATTTTAAGGTAGTCATAGGTCATAGGTCATAGGTTCATGGTGCTTTATACTCCAGTTATCCTTTAATTTCTGATCCATTAAATAAAAGTTGGTTAAATCAATATGTGAGTTTTAATAAGGACAAGATGTTGGGCAGCTCAGGGCCCAACTGACTTTTTTGCATACATTCAGCTCCTTCTGATCATGTTCGCAGAATTTTCTGAGGGAAAGTCCTAAACAGGAATATCAGTTTAAAACCAAAGAAAACCAAAGTGTCCTGCCCCACATACTTCAAACATCTCAGTTCCCTGAAAGTGCTAAATGTGACCTCTGGCAGATGTGACTTCTGGGGTGGTCAAAAGAGTCAAGATGGAGGTTGTGACCTTGTGATTGAAACTTTGCTCCTTTTTTACATGCATTGCATGTACAAAGTCCATTAAAAGGGGATAGGACTTTGATCTTTTTGTTGTGACCATCATTTTGACTATTTTGACACACACACTCCCCTTTGTGGACACCCTTGGGCACCAAACGAATGCCCACCCCTAATATAGGTTTTAGTGTGATGTGTGAGCTGAGTCATTTCTGACTTCAATTAATTTTAAGTAAACCACAATTTAATGCAAAGTGTGTGTTGAGATTCTAAGGAAAAATTAGTCCTCATTTTGTTTTTATTATTTACTTTGTTTCTATTATTTCATTGTACAATATCTGACATCTGCTGTGGCTTTGCTTGAATGTCTTAGTCTGTATTGTTCTGTTTGCCTGATTGTGCTCTATGTGGACAAGAGCCATTTATTTGATTGATATTATGGTTTATATTTGATTTATTGATTACATGCCATCAAGTTGGTGTTGACTCTTAGTGACCACATAGATTTTTTTCCTGGAGGACCTGTCCCCAACCTGTTTTTTCAGGTTTTCCAATGGGGCAGCCATAGCCACTGTAATTGAGTCCATCCACCTTCCTTCTTGTCAGCCTCTTCTCCTTCTTTATATCTTTCCCATCATTATATCCTTCTCCAGAGAACTAGGATTTTGCATAATGCGTTCAAAGTGGGATTAATTGAACCTAGTCATTCGTGCCTCAGGTGGGTTGATTTGTTCGATGATCCATTTGTTTACTTTCTTGGCTATCCATAATATTTTCTGGAGTCTTCTTGTCCAACACCAAAGTTCAAAAGTGTCAATACTCTTTCTGTCCAGCTTCTTTGAAGTCCAACAATTACTTTCCATAGATTGTCACAGGGAAAACCAAGCATGCATTTACATTTGTTTTAACGTGTACTTATGTCTTCTTTATTTTTGCATTTGGTGAATAATTACAGTCTATAAATACTGCCAAGGTTTACTAGCTATTGGGTGGTTGAAGTTTAACCACTGTGCATGTTGCAGCCTCTGGAAGGCAAACAGATGATCTAATCTTTTCATAAAAACAATCATGTAATTTTAGGGCCTGATGCTGGTAATTAAGTGCTATCTGTTCAAATGGTGTTTCAGTAAAGTAATTCCTCTGACATGCTTAATCCTCCCTGTTCTGACAAACTCTGCACAGACTTTATGCATGAAATTCAAGCAAGTACATGAATAATAGCTCACATTTTCCTGCTCTTTACATTACAACATACACTTACAGTTGCTAACCCCCCTACTGATAATTCTTTGCAATTAGAACAAATACTTGCAATAACTTATGTGCCCTGCAATTGGACTCACACATCATGCTAAGATATATTGTATACTAATTCGGTTAGGTTTAGCATGTTGTATGAACCCAGCCTTTGTGAGTTGTAAACCATAGTTTATGGCTTGGTATGTTGTGTTAATCCAGATAACTGTGGTTTATTCAATAAAGTATAGCTAAACTATGGTTTAGTGTGATGTATGAATGCATGATCTATGTGAATGCACATAAATCATTCTTGTCCTCCATCATATTGGAAATAATATAGAATGGGATTACTCTCCCTTTTCCAGAATGATGTGCATTTTCCTGTAGTTCATTGGTCAATAAATTTGAAAAATAAATAAATAAACTGTTTGTCAGGCTGGCAAAGAGGAGACAGGAAAATGGCAACAAGGAATAATTTCTCACATTTCTTTTTCACATGGGGTCTTTGGCATATTACTAGAAGAGTCAGGCATGAATGGATGGTTGTAAAAATTGAAATAAGAAAAAAAGTCTGGATGGCAGAATTAGCATGGAAAACAGGAAGGAAGTATGTTTTCTAGAAACATATCCTAGGGAAGTTACAAGCATACCTAATTCATACATTCATTAAGCCATAGTTTGAGTAACTATGGTTTATGAAATAAACCAGAGTTGACTGGGTTCACATACCACACTAAACCATTAAGTATGTATTTAACAGCAGTCTTACGCTGAACAGAAAGGACAGAGCTGCAGACATTCAAATTGGGTTTCACAAAATGCTGACATGGATTTAAATTGTGTCTAGAATTGTTCAATAAACAATATAGCATATCATTTTGATCCAGCTGTTTCTTGGAATTGTCTCCATCTTTAAACTTCATAGGACCAAAGACCACTTTGGCTGAATTTGCACTTCTCACTAAAGACATGCCCAACCTCAACAACACTCTAGATATGTTGATCTTCCACTCCTAGCTGAATAGGCACCAAGTTGGGAAATACTGTACTGCAATAAACCATAGTGTGATTTGTTTGGTTTTTACTGTGTTTTGTGATTATTAAAAAATCCCATCATTTAAGCAAGCTAGGAATTTATACAATGTGTGGTCTAGCCCTGTTACTTTAAAAATGCATCTCCCTCCCCCCTTGTAATTCCAGATTGGGATTGTAGCATGATGAACAAGGACACTTAACTGGTTTATTCAATACTGTGTTCCCAATCCAGATCAGGCCTCTAGTGCCTGATTTTTTTATTTGCTTTTACTGTTTATTTGCTTTCACTGTTTTTTCCAGGAGTTCATTCTGGGGCATCAGTGGCTACGGTTGGTGTACTTGGTGATAACTTTACTAAGTTCACTGTTATTTGGGTGGCCCGTGATTATTGGTTACCTCTACAAAGTTCCACTTCTTGATGGGAAGTCAGAAGTTTAGCTTACAAAGGCAGAGACTTTATCCTTATATTGATATACAGCCTGGAATTTCCCAGCCCTGGTTCTCCAAAAATCCCCAGAAGCTGAGAGTAAACAGTTGATAAGTTCCAGAAATCACTCAGTGAGAGAGTATGAAGGCAGGGAGCTGTCTCAGGTTAGGTATGTCCCTATCATAAAGGTGTTCAGCGTTCAACAGATCAGCTTTGGGTTCATACAGTGAAATAACTCTCCCAACTAAATTCATTATGCTTTAGCCAGTGTATCAACCAGGCTATGAGAGGGCTGAACGCCACAGTGGCTTGCTTTCTTGCGCATCAATTGCTCAGTGCTCTTTCTGAATTGCACAACACAACATTCCTTAATGCCCAATACCTCTTCACAGCTCAGTACTTCCTTGCAGCTTTTTTAATATAACTCAGGCTGGGGTCACCCACTGCATTAAGCTACAATGTGGTTTTCCTGTTTCTGGTTTAAGACTGAATGTAAATCCCAGAGAAGGAATCCTATTATTCCAGATGGGAAAGGAGACAGCACTTTGCATACGCTGAAAGTTCACATCACTTTTTTAAAATACTCTGGGTGTTCACACAATACACCAAACCATCGTGGTTAGATATTAAGGTCAAGATCAATGTAAGATTCACCACCTCTTTTATTAAGCTTTGAATATATCCAAGTCTGAACTTAAAGCTTCTGCCAATTTGCACTGCAAATCTTTTGTGAGAGACTGAGTGTACAATACCTTCTGTGGTGCTTTCCTCTGTTTGGCGTGCCTTGCTATGAGAACTCGGGTAATGAGCGTTTAATCAAGTTGTGTATGAACACAACCATCATATCATGGGTCGTCGAGAGTGAAGTTAGGCGTCAGCTTAAGCAGGGCATGCCGTTTTTTTCTAAGCTTCGGGGAAGAAATCGTCCTTGCCCTAGGCTGAAGAACCTGAGCAATAGCCGGTCCTGACACTTGCCTCTGAGCACGTGCAGAATGACTCTCTTTTCCCACGACCCGATTTTTCCAGTCAGCTCAAACTTAGAGGAAAGAGGGTGGATTCCGGGTTACAGCGTGGGACTCCTTTTGGCGAAGCCAACCAATTTGGAAGCTGGACCAACCCCAGCGCGGGGAGATTTGCGCGGCGCGGGGCTCCTCGCCCGCCCCCTCCCTCCCTCGTTCGCTCCACCCTCCCTCTCCTTCGCAGCCTCCGCAGGTCCCTCTTAAGAGCGCCTGCGCTGCTGGCCACCCGTCGGCAGGTCGCAGCTGTTAGGGCCGCTTGCCTGCTCGCCATGGCCATGGCTTCCCCGGCCATCGGGCAGTACCCTTACCCGCTGCTACTGGATAGGGAACAGCAGCTCTTCCTGCAGAGCCTGAGCGCCAACGAACGGAAGAAGATCCTCAAGGGCTCCGCTTCCAATGACATGAAGCAGCCGCCGCCGCCGCCGCCGCCGCTGCC